CTTTTTCCCGATGGTCTTGAACTGCAGTGATCTCGAATTTGTATTGAGAAATCACCCTCAGTTGTACTTGAAATGCAGAAATTTAGACTAATGAAGCAGACTAGCTGCGTCTGGGTTGCCTTTCTTGAGGGAGGGCTCAGGACAAAGACAGAAGATGAATATATGCATGTATTGCAAGGAAGGGTTTTTCGTAAGTTGCTGCCATTGAAAACACCAAAGTGTGATTTATTTGTCCTGTAGAGTTGAATGCATGCACAACCTGTATTGTTGCCACAGGATGCAGCAAAAGCTGCAGACTCTCCAACACCCAAACGTCATCACATTTCACCTGAATCCCAACTAGATTAACATAGAGAGTCTACGATATTGAAACCTAGACACAGCATACAGAGGAGATTCTGCACGAGTTAGATATTTCTGGGACAGACTCGTCTGACGACTCCGAAGTCGTTCAGTCTGGAACAATAAGGAGGCCTATGTCTAAACTATGATTTTATGAGACGGTGAGCTTAGGTTGTATCGTTTAGTTGCGGAGTATAGCCATTTGAATTGACTTGTGATAATATTAGGGGTATTGAGAGTGAGTAGGTGAATGCAATCTGGATAAGACCGAGATAGGCAATCGTCGCTTCCGTTAGTATTACTGACTCTTCATCTTCTTACCAATTACCGACTTCTCTTTCTCTTCCACTCATCCACTCATCCACTCATCCACTCATCCACTCATCCACTCATCCACTCATCCACTCATCCACTCATCCACTCATCCACCCATACAGCATAGATAACACCTTACAATGCTCTGACGCATGCACTAACATGTGCTCTTATTCAGTAAAATGCACCTTCACCTCCAAGGAATCCCATGATGAACATCACGCACCTGCATCACCAAATCGAACACGAAAATGTATTGGAATTTACTGCTAAGACATATATTTTTTACATATTGTGGATCCTTATATTTGCTTATAAAGTCTACATGTAAATATATTGCCTTGTCAGATTCTGCACGTTTTGGTGATGTGCACCTGCACTGCACTGTTGGTAACATCACAGGTGGGCGTCGTGTCACGTTCCTACATCATGCAGTTGCAAGCGCATTCGTGAAAGACTAATAAATAATGGGTAACGTCTCTCCACACAAGTGTTCTCCAAGTAGAAAGGTGTTTTGGTGGCGACCTCAGCAGAACGGATCACAATACCAATACGGTTGTTAGATAGAAGTTCTGATGCACTTTTCCTGCTTTTGACATAGTATGAGCACGAATTTGATTTATTAATACTTGTAAATATAGCATCGGGCTAAGACGCCATGCATAACTCGACCAATAGAAAGACTAGAACCTTTCCTGTTTTGGACATAGCATAGTCATGAATTTGGTTTAACAATTTTCGTACATATAGCACTAGTCCAAGATGTGCAATGTAGCCAACTGAAACGCCACGGCCTCCTCGGAATCCTCGCCATTTCCCTAACTGAGAGGCTGTGAGAGCACTCTGGTATTGGCAGTTTGCTATGAAAGATGTGACGAAGCCGTGATGGCGATGCATTGTTGCGATATTTCCATTTGCTTAGGCTAGAAAGTTGAAAGCTACGGAACAAAAAGTTATGCACACGCAATTACGCATATTACGCTCTAGAAGCACACAGAATTGTAGACTGGGTGAATAGTGTCCATGTCCAATTACAATGATTAATCCCACTCATAGTAAGGGATCCCGCTCGCTTGGGCTCGAATCGGGCAATGTGGAATGTGAGTGGTATTTCCGTACAAGTTTTGCAAGCCTCGCGCCACCTTCGATCTCCTCCACTTCTTCCACATACTCGTATCCACCGATTCGTGGGATGAGCACAATCCAGACGTAGTAGTACAGTGCACAAACCTTCGCAAGTATTGTCAGCTAAATGCTTGCGCGAGCTACTTGGGAAGGAAGAACATACGAGGAGGATTCCAATTCCTACAACACAATACCTATGATTTAGTTAGCTCACAGCTAAATATGTCGGCTAGAAGTTCACTTACGTTGCATACCAGAATGATACGTCTGCATGACCATCTTCTGGCGGAATCCTGGAATTCGTGGTCAGATAAGCTCCAAAAGAATAGGAGTCCGAGGGATTACCATGGCATGATAGTTAAGAAAATACAACTCGACAGGTACAGCACAATCGATACATTTGACGCCTTGAATCCACTGAATGGTATTTTTTGTGTCACATGTCTCTTTCTAAGTATCCAAACGCCAAATCCGGTGGCAACCGCAAAGAACTGTGAAATGAAATATAATTAAGCAAATACCATTCTGAGACCTTCATGCCAGACTCACCAGGTGCGGATAAGAGGCAAGATCAAGTAAGAAATTGAATGCATCTGCAGCAGGAAGAGCGAGGATGACTAAAATGGTTAAAATATGTTTCAGGAGCACTGGTCCAAGGGGCGTCCCGAATGGTTTTGTGGAAGCGAAGAACTCTGGCCATGGAAGAAGCCCTTGGCGCGCAACTTCTCGGATAACCCGAGCCTGACCGACGGTCTGTAACATACATACGATCAAATAAAGCTTAAAGTCGACCTGCAAGATACTACTTACGACAGCAATCTGACGGATAGAAGTAGCCCATTTAATATTTCGTGAAAAAAATGTAGACATTTAAATTCACTCACAACATTTCCAAAGCAACTGAATACGACCATTACAGGGAGAATCTTCGCCGTCCACGTCTCACCAAATACTTTTTGAAAGAACAGTGCACCAACAAGTTGACCAGATTGTTTGATCTCTTCTTTCGGAATGGCGGCGATATATGCGACGTTTGTCAAAAGAAACAAAACAGATACAAGGACCAGGGAAATGCGGCCAGCATTCCGAACGGTCCGGACAGGTTCGCGTTTGACTTCCGCCAAGACGTTGAAGGAGTTGGCCCAGCCAACGAAGGCAAAATGAGTTTTGACAAAGGCGGTGGCTAAAGCGTTACCATTCAGCGAACTGTCTGCCCAAGGGTCCGCAAAGTTGGAGAATGGATCCTTGATGCGTGTGATCCCAACAAGAACAGCTAAACCGGCTGCAACCATGCTGCAAGCAGATCATTTAGTAACGGTAAATGGGGAGAGAATGACGAAAAATCGTACAATATCTGTGACAAAGCCTTGATGCCTGTAATGACGTTCACTACGCGTAGAGACCACTTCGTTGAAATACCCACGACTATTGGATAGAGTGAGTACAGTTTTACCGTACAAAGGCGGAACAACAGACCTGCGACGGCTACAGTTGCCACAATAAGTGCAATAACAGTCTGTCGGGCCGCCGTAGCAGGTATGTCAAACAAAATCATGAAGTATTGGGCGAAAACTATTGAGTTTGTCGCGCTGAATCTGTACACGAATTTAGGAGGCATATTCTCAAGTAGAACGTCAGAAGGAACATACGAAAGCAAGACAGTCGTCACTGCAAAAGATACTGGCACCAGAAACCTAGGTCGTGGATATGCTTGTTCAAGATACACAACTTCGGCACCCGATCTATTCGGAAACATGCTCGCAAGCTCGCTATATAGCGAAAGACCAGCTAAGATGACTATCAGCTCAGGAACTGGAACAGCCTTTCAGTAATACGAACCATAAGCAAAGACAGGGGCAAGAACCCAAGCGATAAAGAACAAGCCGATAGAGCCTACAGAGTTCAAGACCACTCCGGGAACGGAGAATATACCAGAGCCTAGCATCTGTCCCAAGTTGAGCATAATGCATGATAGTAGTGTTACCTCACGACCGAGGGGATTGATCTTTATTTTTCGTTAGAGGGGATGTTTGTTTCATATTATTGGTAATTTGGTAAACGACAGAGAGAGCTTACTTTCTCTACAGGAGCTCCAAGTAGCGAGGCACTCTCATCCTCTTCTACTGCTTCAATATTATCCTGTGCATATTCTACGTCGCCTTCTGGTGGGACTACGGTCATGGTGAAATGATCAGGAGAGAGTGGTGGTTGTTAGAGGTGAAGGGAAAGAGGTACCCTATTTAAGAACAAGACTGACGGGTATCACACAGTCATAGAGATAACGAGAGCGCCGAACAGCGTTCGCAAATGGAGCTTCATCAGTCAGACCGCTGGGTTTCAGACTTAACGCCATTTTGCATTGCAATGGTGCGTTCGTAACTTCTTAAACGGGAATGCGGAAGATCGGCTTCGAGTCACGTGCTCGTGATCCAGGATCAGCGAATCACGACGGCAAGAAATCTTTCAATTTACGCCGTCCACGACAAGTCCAATAGTCTTGTTATTGCTCTTACATCGAACGACTACAATGTCTGAACTCAACTTTAATAACTCTCAAAGGGAGCATCTAACTGTGCCACTCGAAGCTCCACCAGCGTACGAACCAAAACCTGAAGACGAAACGGACGTCGAGCAAAACGCTACACAAGATAACCACTCCAACATAACAAAGAAACTGATCTCAAGGAGGTTTTTCGTCTCGTTCGCACTCGTCGTACTCTCGCTATGGTTTACGATGCTCGTACTTGACGCAGCGGGTGTGCGGCGCTCTGGCGTCATTTATTCAGATCGGCACGTCTTTACCTCGCGCAAGAGTCTCACTAAGCATTACTTAGCTGATTGACTTCCTCTCAATGTAATGTCCAGTTACTCGGAGGAACATCGTTTCCGTCCAGCCGCCAGCCCGATTATTACTGAGGTGCTCGCAGACGGACGCACTCGCATCCGTGGCGCCGAGCGACCCGAGTCCACATAAAGTTTATCGCGAAGGCAACGACCATGCTCTATACACATTCTCGATCGATTTATTATCGTGCGTGAATCTGACCCAAGAAAGACTGCTGCGCTTACTGATAATTGATTGTAATGGCCTTGCAGTTCTATCTTAATTTATACATTTATCGGCATTCTTGTGTTTCAATCCCTTCTGCTGCGGACTTCCTCCGTTCGTTGGTTTCCACGGTACATTGTACAAAGTACTTCTATGTATGCATGTAAGAGGAACATTGCGTATTTATTATCTCGGTCCTACTCGTTGTCTGTTGGTGCTGATGGTCACGAGCAAGATTTACGCGTGAGATCTCACAACCCTTCACTTCGCAGCATTTAGGAGGCTTTCTGACTACTTGGCCAATTAGACCAGTGGTTACACCATCATTACCTCCAGCACCAGGAATAACACTGAAATAGATGCGCAAGAACTCAACTCAACGCAGCTCATCTGGCGGTACCTGTTGTTCTTTATTTACAGTGCGCTTGTCCAATCTCCATACATGCATATTACATGCAACCTCATATATCACATCAAATTAACGTACGTACGTTCGAAGCCCATGTTCTCATTGAAAATCAAGTCAAGCCAAACGAGAAAGAATTCAAAAATCAAAACCAATGCAATCGTAAGAATACAGGAGAAACAGCAATAAAAAGGGGGTGGGTGGTATCCAGCAGTCAAATAATAACTAAAATCCGTCCGTCATGCGACAGGTAGACAGGTAGACAAGTATATAGAGTTCTAACTCTACGCACGAGAGAAATGCAAGATGCAAGATGCCAAGGTAACAAATTTTTACGCAGAGGCTGATTGAGCTTGCGCGTTGCATTGATCTTGCTGCTGCCCGCATGCATCGACTGTCAGGTCACCCTGGTTTCCTGAGGCGTTCGCAGCGTTGGCACATTGGTTGTGCTGTACGTCGCTGTAAACATATCAGTCAGAAATCCCCTCTTATTCGATAATATAAAAAAGGGCAAGACGATGGATGAAAAACTCACCAAGAACGAGTAAGAGCGTTCTGGAGGCTGTTAAACGCCGAGTTTCCGTCTACCTGGAACTGGCCGTTCCCAAGGGCCGTCACCGCCGGAGCAGATGCACCAAGGTTACCAGTGAAGGACTGCAAGTTACCTCCGCTCGCCGCCGACGAACCGCTGGCAGAGTTACCAGAGTTGGAGGCAGCCGTGGCAGTTGCTGCAGCCGCGCTAGACGACGCAGCGGGAGTAGCGTTGGAGGCAGCGTTGTTGTTCGCGTTGCCAGCGTTTGCGTTCCCTGCACCGGAAGCGGCTGAACCAGTACCGGAGACGACGTTACCCTGGTCGTCGACCTCTGCGACGCTCGCGAAGTTGGTGGTAATACCGAACGCAGCGTTGAATGCGTCTGCCTGAGCACCAGTCTTTGCAGTTTGTGCGTCTGCGGCGGCTTGAGCGGTCTTGCAAGTGTCCTTTGCGGTTTGGTCCGCACCACAGCTGTTTGTCAGCGTATCGCATATGAACTGGGTGATGATGTCGATGTTCTGTGCAGATCCGTGGTTGAACGAAGCTACAGCAAAGTAAAGCGCATAAGCCTTTTGCTTCCACTTTACTTTGCTCAGATTGAACAAACTTACTCTTGTCGACAGGCTCGAAGCTCGTCTCTTTCCTGTTGTCGAAACCAGTACCGAATTCGATTTGCGGGACAGAGCAGGAGCCAAAGTCACCAACACCGGATGCAGCACCCGAAGAAGCACCAGTGCTCGTTGACGAACTACTAGAGCTGCTAGAACTATCCGTAGCTGCAGGGGTAACCGCAGCAGCAGTGCTTGACGCAGCGGCGTCATCAGATCCAGCAGCACTAGATGCAGCTGTACCAGAACCTGTACCAGCGACGACGTTGCCTTGGTCATCGACTGCCGCAACGCTCGCGAAGTTCGTCGTAATGCCGAAGGCAGCATTGAATGCATCAGCCTAAAAAACGGGAAAGACGAAATTATTCCGTGAGTTATTAAAATGAGATACGAATAATCGAGGAAATGCGAAACGCCGAATCTAGAAATCAGAGTTGAAATAACGACGTACCTGAGCACCAGTCTTGGGAGTCTGCGCATCAGCAGCAGCTTGGGCGGTCTTGCAGGTATCCTTCGCAGTCTGGTCTGCACCGCAGCTGTTCGTCAAAGTATCACAAATGAATTGCGTAATGATATCAATGTTCTGCGCCGATCCATGGTTGAACGAAGCTATATAACGCAGGAAGAAAAAGGACGATGTCATCGTGAGCATCTTCTTGCTTTCTTTTTTGTTGTAAGACCGGTTTGGCGTGAACTTACCCTCGTCAACAGGCTCGAAACTCGTCTCCTTCCTGTTGTCGAAACCTGTACCGAATTCGATTTGCGGGACGGAGCAGGAACCGAAGTCACCGATGCCGGAAGCAGCAGTGCTTGTAGCTGCCGGCGCATCGCCCGCGTTCGTAGCAGTCGCAGTCGGATCAGCACCAACAGTCAATGTGACAAGAGTCTAAAACCGAGAATTATAACCGAGCTCAATTAGTCGAAGGTGCTTGAAAATGGTAAGGTGAGATATACGAACACAATCACCAGTTTCAGCAGCAGCGGCATTGTTAGTTGCAGAGACAGTGACAGTCACTACACTCGACTCCTGCAATACAAGAACAAAGAAAAATAAAATTAATATCACGTTTGTCAACACCGAGGTATTTTATTTATTATACTCACACATGCATCATCCTCCGTGGCATCATCAACGGCCCTCGCAGTAACGTTCGTCGCGTTCCCAGCAGACGCAGAAGCGGAACTAGCCGTACCGAAGGGGAACGTATTTGGCTGGCTGCCCAGCGTAACGCTGCTCTTCGTAGCAGGGTCGAAGAAGATGTTCGGGTCGTTGGCTGGGTCCTGTGCTTGGACGAGGCCATTAAGTTCTGCGTTTGCTGGTGCCTTCTGACAGAAGACGGAGTTCCTGTTCGTCGGAGGGTTCGTGGTGAAATCCTAAAAAACACATCCTCGTTGAGTAATCTTTGATTAAGTGTTAGTGACTTTGTTTGGAAGAGTGCGGACCGGAGGCGTGTTCTTCTCTGCCTGGCGGAATTGCACGGCAAGATTAATCATGTTTTGCTTAGTCGCATCGTCAAACTGCTGGGCAGCATCTAAAAAAGATAGAAAATAAATAAACAGTCAGTCGTTCCGCCACATGCAATGTAATAGCTTCATATTCTCAATTTCTATCCGAATAATAGACGCACCAATTATCTGATCAGCCATATCCTGCTGAGCGCATTCATCAGCACCAGCAAGCAACGTCGAGATCGCCTGACCCGCGAGGGTAGCGCAAACTCCACCATCGCATGCCGAACTCAACTGGCTGAGCACAGCGGGGTTCTCCTGCCCGAAACGACGAGGGTGAAGGAAGACCGCCTTGTTGTCCCTCTCAAGCCATCGCTCGCGTCCAAGGACTTGCTCAGACGCAGACAGCAGGGAAATGGCAACTGCCACGAAAGAGATGAACTGCTTGCTGAACATACTTGCTTCCACACAGACGGTCGGATAAATGAGTGTTGGAGTTGAAGGTCAAAAGTGAATGTAAATGAACGGAAGGATGACACCAGGCCTGGATGGATGCGAAGAAGATGTGCCGTTCAACGACTAAGGAGGATGAAAGAGAGAAAGAAAGTAAGAAAGCAAGACGGACAGAGAGTATGGGCGAACGAAAACGTGAAGAGAAAAGCAACAGCTCCCCGAGGGGTCTTTATAACCGTCGCTAGCCAGAGTAGGACTATACTTTCCCGTTAATTAGCTTGAGAGTGTTCTTTGCGGCAACGCAATGTCGGCAGAGAGACCGATGCTGAGAGAGCCGGACCATGTCGGACGTAATAAATCTACATAGAAGACTCTTTCCTTCCCTTCGCACTCGACGCAGTCCGTTGCTAGCTCCAGCGAGTTGTGTACCATTAAGCCGGTGGACAAGAGAGTCATTCTTGATTTCATCCCATGACGGGTGCCTGAGGTAAAGGGGCCGATGTCGTCAAGGATAGCGGAGGCAACGGCAACTGGGATCCTTGTCTCCGGAGACCCCATCAATGAATAGAGTCTCTAAAACGATCGTCCACTCGGAGGAATGTCGTTCAATTATGAACAACAACATGCGATCAGAAGACAAGGAACACCGCAACGCGCCTCGTCCTTTTGGAAGTGTTCACCCATGAGCTCGAGAGACCTATCCAGTGGAGTTGCAACCGACACATGTTTTAAACACGTCCCACTGAAAGTCAATTCAGAAGTGTCAGAAAGTGTGAATTGATACAGACATATGTTGCTGGCCACTTGTCATGATTGTCAAGGCGCGAAGCTGGAAACTTGTTCGTTGTTCGGCTAAGTGGCGCTCCCTCCCTAAATAGTCCCGATTTGGGTCACGAGACTGAGGAGTTAGAAACAGCCATTGATCCTCAATGCCAAGGCATCAAAACGTATTTGTGGCAAAAATAACAAGCCTAATCCAACTGCGCACAAGGCCTCCGCAACACTTCCTGCAGAAGAGATCTTGATGCTCGTTGCGTCTCAACAACACGAATACTGCGAGATAATCGGTACATAATTACCAGGCGAAAATCGGGCTACGGACTACTACAACATCATTATTACTACCAAACCAACTTCTTCCGGTTTCCTTGTTAACGTAAATGGCCTCACCGACGCGGCATGCGCCAGAAGGTAGCAACAGCCCTACAGAAAGCAACTCTCTCGCCAGGATAATCCTTTCTCAGACCGCAAATAGATTGAATACTCAATTCCACTTCGGATCGCCGCGTCCCACGACCTTCCTCGAGCCCGAGAACTTGAGCTTCGCAAGCGTCTGCGCCCGAGAGAGAAGCGAAGGCTTCGTGCTTCGTCCTTTGAGATACACCTTATAACCTTCGGTGGAAACTACTGGGTTTGAGACTGTTGAGCGACGTTGGAGTCTCTTCACGTCCATGAACCCCCAATTATTGGATTTCTGCTTGTCTTCTTTATTACTATCTTTTCGTTGTTGATCTTCTATGCCTATGAAGTTGTCTTCTTCGTCTTCTTCCTGTTCAACAAGAGCATTGGCCAGAGCGCGTGAAAGGCTTGGGAGACGTGGGAGAGCGTTAGGCGGTATGGCGCTCGAGCGACGGGCCGCTGACGCCAGCAAATGATACGGAGTAGAAGCTGAACGGACAGGCGTCCTTCCGAGAGCAACGCCTTGTGGAGATGCGTTCGTATCAGCTTCGTGCCTGAAGCGCTGGAAGAGTGGAATAACCCGAGCCTGAGAGCTGGGAACGAGGGCATGTTGATCCGTAAGCAGACCACCCGACTTGACAAGCCTAATTTCGTCCATCATAGTCCAGATAGTCTTAATACGCGCTTTGGAAATGCATGGCGAACCGGAAGCAGAAGTGACCGGTGTGTGTTTAAGGACTTGCGTCGGAAGAGAGACGAGGCTGTGTATCGAGGAAGAAGATGGCATGGTACCTGGTTTGCGAGGCAACAGAAACGGGCGAGGACTCGGCTTCACGGCAGATGCGTTAGGTGTAGACGCATATGCAGCCAGAGCTTCATCAGGTGTTCTTATCGTTTTTTCTTCTAATGAAAGCTGGTTCGTTTGTAAACCAACGTCAAACTGCGGCGGAGAATGTTCCATCACTATAGATGGGAGAGACGGATAGACAGTATGGCTTGTTTTTCTCCTAACAAGACTTGTCTTTCGCTTAGGACGTATTACCGCAGCGCTCTCAGATGAATGACGTGAGAGAGTGGACTTGTAATGCTTGGGACGTCCTTCGTCCTTCGGCAGTAGGAAGACCTTGGATGGAGATTGTTGGCTCGTTCGACGTTCCTTAGGTACAAGTGGAGACTGTTTACGAATAAAAGGAGTGTATCTTTGCTTTACCGACCTTTCATGAGAAGTCGAGAGCTGAGCAGAAGGCCTGTTCTCTTTGCTCTCTGGTGAAGGAGCCCTCATCGCTTTCCTGATAGCCACCGAAGAATTATTGCCTATCGTGTCTTGTCTATTCAAGTTGGCATCAGGACCAGAGATCAGCTTGGTGTTGACAGGCCGTAGAAGAGTCGAAGACCTAGGCAATCTGGAAGGCGGGGCATTCGTTGAGCTCGTTGAATAGTGTAGAGACGAAGAACGCCGAGGAGCAGGTCTCGCGAGGGCTGACGCTGCTGCCCGGGTGTTGTACCCATGCTGAGTTGGACGAGCAGTTGCAACAGACGTCCTTTGCCCACACTCGTCATTGACAGTCTCTAACTTGGGCTTGATGAATATCCTTGGAGGAGGAGATCGCGACTGGGCTGACTTGGCCCGTCGGACAGAAGCTCTAGAAGAAGCGTACCCCACATCCAAGCCAGTGGCAGTGGCAGTAGCTGTGCTGTGCAGAGAGTAACGACGAGATGCAGTCGCACGATTGTCGTCGGAGGCGGAAGTGTGTCGTCTCTTCTTCGACATGTCTTGACTTACGACGCGTGTATGTTCTACTGACAAAAGTCACCGAGAGCCAAGATAGAGGGAGATTGTGGGGCGCGGAAATATATCAATATGAGAATTTGAGGTTATGAGAGAGGGAGACGAAGGGTGATGGTTGCAGAATGAAGAAACAAACCTGGTCGGTTGGCTGACCAGGCGTGCGCGGGTTTTGATTGAGACCGAGCTCATACTGTGCTGCTAGTGGCCTTTGAGACCAGCCGATGGGCCAATGGCTGACGGGCAGAGCCAATAATGTGCTAAGTTAGCACCAGAGAGCAGTTCTTTATACTAAATAACCATAATGGTGGGACGCCGATGAGAATATAATGAGAACAACGAAAGAAGAGATCGACAAAGCATCGGCTCTCGGGCGGGATGTACCGCATATAGTCACCATCGAGATGTGAGATGTCCTCAATTAATTTCTGTCTCCGTCCACCACGTCACATCTCATTATTCACAAATCTGTACCATAACTGTAATCCATCCAGCTATTTTCCATCCAATTCACTCAAAAATGACCACGCCTGTCTTCCCAATCGTGCCCTCCACGCAGAAGTATGACTGGGGGAAGCGTGGTCTCCAGTCAAAGGTTGCACAGTTCGCGCATGCCGCTCGCGTCCCGGGCTTCGCGCTTGACGAGAACACTCCATACGCCGAGGCAAGTTCGTCAATCTCAAAATAATCTTCGTCCTATGCTGACGCGGTACTGCAAGCAGTTGTGGATGGGTACACACGCATCGTCTCCGTCACTCTTGTTAGATGGAACACCACTTGCGCAGCACCTCGCCGAAAACCCGTCTCTCATAGGGGACGACATCGTCACGACCTTCCACGCCGAAGACGGGAATATTCCTTTCCTATTCAAAATCCTCGCCATCGAAAAGGCGTTAAGCATCCAAACTCATCCAGATAAACAAACCGCAGAAAAGTTACATGCTGAACAACCTACCATTTACAAAGGTATAGTCGCATATATTAATATTTATACCGGAGAGACGACTTAATAGTATGATGTATAGATCCTAACCACAAACCTGAGATGGCTATCGCCCTCACCCCATTCACCGCACTCTGCGGCTTCCTCCCACTCCCCCAAATCGCCACATTCATCTCATCAACATCCGAATTCAGCTGTCTCATCCCATCGACCATCGCTTCGCACTTCATCTCCATCTCCACCTCACGCACACCCTCAGGATCTAACGAAAAATCCGCACTCCGCGAACTCTTCTCCGCGCTCATGACCGCTCCCGAGGAGAAATTCAAAGAAGAACTGAAGAAACTTGTTACGAGGTATAAGGATGGGAGAGAGAAACCGGAGGAAAGAGATGTGAAAGAGTTGATACTGAGACTTGAAGAGCAGTTCCCGGGTGATATAGGGATCTTTTGTTCGTTTATGTTGAATTACGTGAAGTTGAACCCGGGAGAGGCGATCTTCCTTGGTGCTGGAGAACCGCACGCATATATTTCCGGAGGTCAGCCATTCTAGTTTCACACATGGATACTTCTCTGACAAGTACTCGTTTGCTTAATAAACAGACATCGTAGAAACAATGGCAACCTCCGACAACGTCATCCGCGCCGGTCTAACCCCCAAACTCCGAGACGTACCCAACCTCATCTCCTCACTCACCTACACCTCCTCCGACCCTTCCAAACACCTCATTCAGCCCCGGCCCTTCGGCTCACCAGCAGATCCATTCGCAGACTTACACGCCGAATCGATATTGTACGACCCGCCTGTACCGGAGTTCGCTGTGGTGAGAGTGGAGGCGCAGAAGGGGAGTACGGTGAGGCATGAGGGTGTTAGAGGACCGAGTATTTTTATCGTCACGAAGGGGCGGGGGAGGGTTACTTGGGACGGACAGGAGGGTGAACAGGAAGGGGAGCAAGAGCAAGTGGAGAAGGGAGAGTTGAGTGAAGGGAGGGTGTATTTCATTGGTGCCAAGACGGGTGTGGTGTTCGAGGCTGAGGAGGAGAGTTTGGAGATTTATAGAGCGTTCGTCGAGCCGAAGCCGCCTAGCTTCTAGAGCCTTCTTGCCTCGCCTTTGATTTCGGTCCTGGCCTGGTTTGGCTTGGTTGATTGAGGGTGTACTGATAGATATGACTGAAGAAGAAAAAAGATTTATGTAATTGTACGGTTTGTAGAGTAACTTGTAGCAAACGAAGAGACAATAGAATGTGTATGCCTGCACTGTAGTCGATGATGGCAGTTGCACTCGTGTTGTGGGTGAGCGGAAAGAACACGAGTTCTCGTAGTCCTCGATGTCTTCGTTCTGATATTGTTATTAGCATTCCCATTGCCCAGAAACAAACTGAAAAGGCTTTATTGAATTAGATAGCAACATTAAAACTGCAGTCTTATACAGGACTACGTTTTCTTCATGCATGATCTTGTCTTTCGAGTGCCAAACAGTGCCATGCTATTCCACCACCACCAGTTTAGCTGAGGGGACGTGCAGCTAAGTTTGTTAGCCCACCACACCACATTGGACTACGCGAATTTGGCACAACTACTTAGTGAGCGTGCGCTGCAGCTGCGTCGCCTTGGAAGTCCAGGGTGTAAACTAGCAGATGAAAAGTCAGCGATTTGATAAAAGAAAAGAAAGATGGACGGTGAGTAGTAAGAAAAAAGTAGCGTACCAGAACCGCATTCTGGGCAACGATGCCTGTCTCTGGTGATGTTCGCATCAAGCCAGACGACTTCATGCGAGTCTGCTGGAGAGCCTGTGCATCCGATCAGGCGTTCAGGGAACTACATGTTAAATGGAAGAAATGGAGAAAAATATAGGTCAGTAAACGTGCGTTACTCGAATAACTGGCGCAACCAAATACATCAAACCAAACGAAAACAGAAAACGAAAATCCAACTCTCTCAACTAACATTCTCAAACACAAAATACATCCCACCCACTCCTCCTCTTCAAAAAGAAAAAGCACAAACAGAAACACGCTCACCATAGTAGCAACCTTAATCGGGTCCTTCATAGTTCCCAGCCGACTGGAATCAAGCGGATGCATATCAAACACGTCGACACCTTCCATCCTCCCGAGAAGCTGGAACCGCTCGATACCAGTCGCCTGTTGCTCGTCCGTTGGAATCGCATCTGGTGGGGTATTGTCTGGGCCGTAGAGCTGTGGAGGTGCCGGTGCGTGATGTTCGTCGTGGTGTGCAACGTCTTTGGAGGCGAGGACACGCGAGGTGGAGATGAAGGTGCGTTTTGCTGCGAGAGAGCGCGTGCTGGTACGCGCGATTGGGCGCAGGGTTGAGAGTGCGCGGAGCATTGTGAGGTGCTAGTAGGTGCGTTGGATGGGTGGGTGAGTGGATGTGCAGAGGTTCGGATTGGCACGGAAGCGATGATAGCCTATTTTCGGTCATTACCGGATTGCCCTCGCCTTTCTACGACGTGCAAAATTATGCCAAGTTATATGCATCTAGCAAACTGAAGATGCATCAAATTAGATGCTCCAACAACATTTCATCATCCGCAAAACTGCAACGTCGGATTGGCATGGCAGCCGTGATTTCCTACTTTCGGTCGTTACCAGCACAAAACTATGTTACTTACTCAAGGTGGCAATGCATAAACGCAATGGTGCAATAATGCATTACTTCCCCCAAAAACAAATGGCCATTCTCTGCAAAATTGCAGTGTTGTAATGATAGATTTCTGTCATACTGAATCAATCAATGGCCTGTCCCAACGTTATGCTGCCAGCTCAATTTCCATTCTGTGTACTTTTTTACTTGTAGAACATAATACATTTATACATCTGTGGATATTTTATTCCCTCACGCTTCTGACATGTAAGTAGTAAATATCACGGTTTCATTGCATCTCTCATAGGTAGCAAACTATCAATGCGACAGCAATGCCAGAGTACGCTTAGCTGGCAAGGGCAAGAAATCTGAGAATGTGGCAGTTCCAAACTTCCATTAGAAGCATTGCATGCCTTGACTGAATGCTGAAGCTGCAAAATCACTTATAGCATTTCTAGGAAGCTATGGCAGTCGTGCCTTTCTTTCACTCTGTTGTGGTAAAAATTGGGTGAGATAGGACTATAAAGCTATTTGTAATGATATTGATGCCTTAAAGAATGTCTAAACTGGATAGAAGAAAGGGTATTTAGAGTCTCCAGACATCGTTGTTGCTCACTCAGTCAGTACTTACTTAATCGGGAGGTTGCTATATAGGGAAGGCGGCGAGAAAAAAGTAGCAACTGCTACAGTTTTCCAGAAACGCTATAGTCTAATCAGTACTAGCTGTTGGTGCTAATGACTTTGAAGGAGAAAGATAGTAAACACCATACTAAAAACAGAAAAAAATGCATCGGAACTCTGATCTGATAACCACTGTGGCACTATGCTACGTTTTACCTAACAACCATCTTTTACTTGGGAGGAAAGACACTACCCAAATGTATCAGTCTTTGATACAGGTAACTATGTCTATCTGATGTCAAATCCAGACATGGTCTACTTGTGATGGTATCAATAAACAACTGTAATGTGCCTGTGAAACATGGTTCCTTACAGTATAGCAGAGAAACTTGCACACCAAGGCTTTGATTTGATGGACGAGAGATTATGTCTAATGCTGGTACTAGACTACTTATCTATTGCTCCAAGAATCATTGACAGCAACATTTGCTCTCCGCGAAGAAGGGTATATAAGGGGCGTTGAAACGGACAACTTCTTCATTATCAATATACAGAGTACCTTACTGAATATTTCCTCAAAGAATGTCACAGCAACAACAGCAAGCTGCGTGGACAGCATTGTGGACCGCCATACTCGAGTGGCATGAGGCCCATCACTTTGAAGCTGACCACATTCTTTTAATGACGGATTTTCGTAAATGTGTTAAGGAAATGCAACAACATGGCAAGTACAGCATTTAGCAGCTTGTAACTCCACTAATAATCAATTTGTCCCATGAATGACAGGTGTTAGAGAACTTTACGGTGTCACTTTCAAACAGCTCAAAATTGACAAGGCCAATCATCGAGCCACCTACTCAATTGATTACTATGGTCAAAATTACTCTGGACAAAATAAACATTTTGTAGGTGTCATTGAAGATATGACAAAATTGATCCAGGCCTACTTGAGTAATATGGTTCCGACTCCTTTCAGTTCCACCAGTCTCGAAGGTTACTCAATAGCCCAGATACTGTCTGGGCAATGGTAATAGTGAATGTTGTATTGTGGAAAGTGACAGCATGTTTGTTATAAACAATGTCCTTTATAAGTGATATTAATACAAAGAGCATATATAAATGCTGTTGTTAGGCATTGCCTTGAATCACGACAATTTGATTGAGCATTCTAAGTAACTATTATTTATTCAAGTACATCACGAAAAAGTCGCAACAAAAGTAATTAATAATAGCAAAAGTAATTTAATAATATAATTTCACAAGCATTACAATCTAACATAGTAATTATATTTTACTTATAATATAATTCTAATGATTATATATAAATATAAGGAATATACAAGCTTTTTGCTAAACTACAAGTATTTTTTAAAGCAAGTAAGCTTAATACTAGTATTATTACATTATTACATGTAAGATATAAGCACTTAACTCTTATTATAATATGTTAAAATTTTATTATAAATTATTTGTAACAATAGTTGATTGATTATAATAGTTATAAAAGTAATACATTGTGCTTGTAAGTTAATTACAATCCTTTTAGTAAGATAATATGTAATTATATATATTAATATTGTTAACAATCACCATGTTAAACTTATAATATAACTTGGTTTTACTTTTACAATATATCGAAGTGATTACATAATCGAGTACCAAGGATTGAGAGCATATAATGATGCACTTGCTCTCATCACTCCTTTCCTCCTACTTCCACCATGTCCCCAACCCTCTTCCCCCAACACTATGTTGTTTCTTTTGTTCTCTCCAGCCCAGTCCTCTGCCTACAAGCATTCTCCAGCAGGCACACTGCCTGCAACTGTCTAGACAATAAACATTACTGGATTTGTCTCTCTAATCTGCTACTACAATGCCCACACTGAGCCTCAGATCCTGTGACAACACAGCTGAGCTGGCTACACTGTCCTTCATTGTAAAGCATAAGTAGCCAGTCCACTTCATAATAACTTGCACAATAGTTGCTCATCCCTCTCCTCCCAACTTCTTGTCTCTCTTTCATCCCTCCTACTCCTTACTCTACCTCTTACATTGCCTCTCCTTTATTGTCCTCCTTTTTATTAAGCTTGCCTTCTTTTTTGCATTCACATTTGCACATCCACATTGTTGACCAATGCCAAACAACTTCTTCAGTAATTCCATACATTTGTGTACTTCTTCCTGCTCAGCAACACAAGCAACAATTGGTGAGTACATGTTTGCAACAATGTCCATGTATGACTACTCCTCAGGTGCAATCCTCTCTCTGACCCCCTGTGCACTCTCCTTCCCTGCCTACCATCCTATGCTTGACATCACCCTTAATAGGCCCATACTGTATGCATTTATATTCCCTAGTACTGTCTATGACACCATTTTGAATAACAGAAGTAGTAACCACCACTCACCTCTCCAGGGCTGAGTCTGCCTGCACCACCCACTTCATCCTCTCCCTTCAAGCCAGAACGTCCTAGAGATACACCTTTGAAGTCATCCACAACTATTACTGTGTTCACTGTATCTCTGATTGTGTGTTGTGTCATAGCCAGAACATACAACATGCTTGTACAGACATGCTTTCCCCTGCAGCCCAAATTAGCTCACTCAACACTCCAGATTTCCAACCCAGGTGACCCACCCACACTCACTGTACACTGTTGTAGTGTGTCCATCTTTTCTCTCTTATTTTCACTTGCTAATCACTCTAAACTCATCTCACAGGCACAGCCTCAATCACTACAACCTGCTCAACCTCAATTCACACACACTTGCAATTCAACTTGCAGGGACTGAGCAACAACCAAAACGTGGTGACAAAGACTACATCAAACAGCCTAAGAATGTATTCACCCTTTTCCAACACAAATCCTACTTGCAGAAGAATGAGGCAGAGGCAGCTAGTAGTGCAGGGGTTGGGACTGTAGAAATAGTGTATTATTTACTATTTTTGTATTCTATAATTTAAATATAATTATATTTGATTAATTATTTGATACAAAATTGTATACTAAGTAAAAGCAAGCTATTCAAACACTTGTAATGACTTGTAGACATTATAAGCAGATATTATACTTTCACAAATTAATAAGTATGTCTTAACCTTGTAATCTTAGGAAGTATGTTATAATCACTTGTATAACTTGTCAATTTATATTATTATAATTGTAATTGTCAAGTTTTACAAGTATCCTTGTTTACTTATTTAACATTGTACTTTCCTTGCTTAACCCCCTATGAAGATTATATTAACATTGACAAAATTTATAAAAGGTACAAAATGTATAGGATTACAAGCAAATACAATACTTAAGACTTTTTCATAATGTAGTACTATAACAACAGTAGGTATTACACATTGAGTCTCTCCATATTCTGATAGTGAAAAATACATATTATACTTGAAAACTTTTAAGAGGAAGTTTAACTATTATTTTATGAATATTGTATACAAGAATCAGCTGCTTGGGAGCTATTACAATCACCAGCATTCAGTAGATATAGAGCATCCAATGTATCAGTTGTGTTTTAACAACAGAGTTATGTTTACTTAACTATCATACTATGTTAGGTCCTTAGTTCCCTGTTGTATAGCAATGTATCTAGACATGAAATTTCAGGATGTTACTAGAAAGCAGTCATACAGATGTATCATTCTAATATGTATCAGGAAAAAGTCTAAATGCTTACATTATAATATTATAATGTGAAAAAAGTTAAAAAAAAGTGATAATAAAAAAAGTATTTTGTATATTATCAGACTTTGATTTATAAGTAAGTAGTATAACTTTGTATAAGGGTAATACCCCTTTTCAACATATAAAATGTATAATATTGGACCTCCCAGTTTTATAGAGTATGATAAGAATATCTAAGTTTTGAGAGAGTAATACATGTTTGTAATGTTTTACAGACTATACAAAGCTGTATATTTCTTAACAATAATTATTTCCTGTTATAGCCATTCATTATTAAAATAAAATAAAAATAATTATATTAAAGTATTTATACAATACATTGCTATCTACAATAATTAAAGAAAAAAATAATCCAAGAACACATCCATGGCAACAATGGTGCACCCAGGGTGCTGGTTGACTGACAGTTCTGTGGGAGGACAAAGCTG